AATTTGAAATAGCTATTAATTAACATTATACCTAACTTTGCCTATCACCACACTTGACTTGAATTTGCATACAACTGTTGCATATCAAATACTGCTAAGGGTATCTCGAGCTTCGGTGTGCTGTAAAAATGCCACGTTTTGCAGCTGTGTGGCAGCTCTGCCAGGCTGAACCTCCTCCTCATCCCCTCCCGCGCGGCGACGCTGCCCGTCCAGCCAGTGCTCTTCCTGCTGGGGCCCCACAGCTGGGATCCAGAGCTGGGGAAGCACAGCCCTGCGCTAGGCAGCTATCTGGGTTCCCAGGTATTTCGCCCTGATGGGGAAGAATAAAAATGACCCTTTTTAATTTGAGGTAGTGAATGTGCTGCTTGTTTCTCTCCCTTGTAAAGTACCTACGTTGTATTAATGTGACTGTGAAGATAATCATGTTTTTTGATGAAAGCATAAGACTAAAATGATGTTTCCAAATGAAGGTTGTTTTGATTTATTCCCAGTATGCAGCACGCATAATTTTGCTTCTCTAACTCTTTGAAGCAAGCTTGAATTTTATGGCTTTGGCGGTTGCTACTACTGTGCTGTGCCGTACCTGTGAGCTATTTAATGTGCAACATTGAGGAGTAAATTAATGCAGAGCCACAAAGAGAGCGCTTCGATTTGCTAATTGCTTGTAGAGCGGAGGGTATTGTTGTGTAGAGAAAGACTGTTCATTAGAGATTGAGTAGCTAATTTTTTCCTGCAAGTGAGTCTCACATTTGAGCTGCTTGCCTGTCGGTCAGGGCGGTCGGCTCACGTTCAGCCCCAGAGAAGACTGTGGGGCTGTTGGTGCGATTGGTGTTAACACTTGCCTTGTAACCACCAGATTGCTTTAGTTTCATTCATTAAACCCCCCCTGACCAGCCTTCTCCAGCGTTGGCAGTGAAGGCTGACTTTTGGAAGGTACGGAAGATGAATTATTGATGCAGGGAAGCAAGCTAAACAGTTCAGAAATGTCTCCTTAGGAGCCGAATCAGTTCCTCTCCTTGGAAACCGTTCCTGCTCCTCCTTCAGCCCTGCGCTGCAGTATCCCGGCGAGGCCGGAGCACAGGTTATCTTTCCTTTCCTGCCGCTCTCTTTTGAGGATGACAGTAGCCTTGACAGTAGATTAGACTGTGTGTCATGTAAGATGAATGTTTTGAATTGACAAACCCTCTTTTTGGAGGCTTAAAGTAATTGACTGAATACTTGAGAGGATTTGGGTTTTTTTTTTCCTGCTTATGCTACTTATTTCATTTTCTTTTACCTGGTTGTGCTGCCTTCAGTGGGTAAATTAGACTTTACATGTATTTGTGTATCTGATTCTTAAACTCAATATCTGTTTGCTTATCAGATTTCTTAATGCTTGAACTCAGTGATCCATGGGAATTTAATATGTGTATTAAGTAGTGAGAATTTCCTTGGAGCTTGGAGTTAACTTTTATGCATAGGCTGAAAATTCAACGTGCAGGTCTTTCCTACTGAGAGATTCCTGAGATACCGGGTGAATGTGATCAGTGGAAAAGCCTGTAAACCAGAGCTGAGCTACGTATAGGTAGGACATTGCTTTTCCCAGTGTGAAACCCGGAGACGGGGCTGGCAAACAGCTCCAGCACCTGCTGCAGAAAGCCCTCCTGTACCTGCTGGTGTAGGGGTCAAGGGCTCACCGTCTCCTGCCTAGCCACCATCGGTGGCTTAGGGTCGGTGGTCATGCTTGTGTTGGCTGCATGTGGCCAGAGATGATCGAACTGAGATATCTCACAGTTTGTTCCTGAAAAGGTAATTTCTAGGAAGCAGCATAACACTAATTCTTTCATGTCTTTCCTGGTAGATGCCTGGAGCGTGGGGCTGGGCGCAGGGGCTCAGCACGCTGTCAGGTGCTGGTCCAGGGCCCTCTGCAGCTCCTTCCTTCCCCGGCTGCAGTGGCTGGCAGCTGCTCTGAAGCACTCTGATTAAGTGAGATGCGGGGAGAAGTTCAGAGCCTAATTTCTTCTTCATAATTAAAAATGTGTGCATCTGTCATGCTGCTGGTGATTAGGTTGTATTTTCTGGTGGCCTAGAAGGAATATGGCAGTGAATCACTTTGCAAGCAGCTGTCCTCTAACAGCTGAGCTAGGTTCAATATTTGATTTAAGCTAATAAAAAGTCTGGGGTAGGGCTAATGTTTACAGACTGGATGTGATAAAGCATTCAGATCATCTGTTTCACAGCCAGACGAGAGCAGGCACGGGGGATCCCACCAGAAGTTTGGGCTTAGTTCTTCTGTGCCTGTCTGCGTACGTGGGCATGGGCAGGGAGGGACCGGTCAGTTGGGTACCCGCTCCGGTCTGTGAGCACATCAGATGGCATCAGCAGTGCTGGAAAAGACACCTTGTTTCCAACTGTGTCATTGTAACAGCTCTCCGTGCATGAAATATGTCCCTTTTACTCTTCTGTGAGAGTTGTAGTCGAACCATATATTTAAAAATCTATTAACCTTCGTAAATCATTTTTTCCAGCAAGCTAATAAGTTTAGTTGCTGTTCTCTGAGTTCCCACTAGTTAGCTACTCTTCCCCTTTGAGCTGCCTAGAAATAAATGCAATGAAGGAAACCTACTTTGTGATTTAATTCTTATCCGATTGCTTCTCCAAATCATACTGTTCTGCTGTTACTGTGCTGCTGTTTTGGACTTGCTGTCCAGGTTTTCTCTAGGTCTCTGCTGGCATAGCAGCTAGAGAGGTTTGTCTTTGGTTGTTTTCCCCAAGCCATGTTATATATAAGATAAATTATGGAATATTTCCCACTTGTATTTCTGATTTCTCCCCTGCCTTTTGTGTTGTTGCTCTCCTGTCTAAAAGTTTTTGCAGCGTCTTCCTGAAGTAAAATGTACCAGGGTTTTTTCTGTCCTTTTTTTCCTGAATTTTATCAAGGTCTTGTACCGTAAAATGCTCGCATACCCATCTAGTTAAACAGGTTCATAGGCTGCTGTTAGCTTGATATTAGAAAGGAAAATATTTCCACTGCGAAGGTGACCAAAGCTTGTCACAGGTTGCTCAGAGAGGTTTTGGACTTTGCCTTCTTGGCAAACTCGGAACCCAGCTGAGCAAGAGCCTTGAGAATCCTCGTGTAGCTGCCCCTGCTCTGCGTAGGGGATTGAGCTGGCCTCTCCCAGTCGGAGTTACTCTGTGGCTCTGTAGAAGCCTGTACTAACAGGAGCCTGAACAGAGAAATGACCCTCAAATTCAGGAGTGGTAGCCACCATAAGTAAGGACGTAATCCTTAATGGGTCTTTACATCTAGTTCAGAATAGGCCAGTAGTTCCCATCTAAAGGACATCTTCATTTAGATAAGGCTAACAAATATACAGAGAAGTTGGGGGCTTTTTTGATCAAAAATATTCAGTCAGTCTTGAGGTGTTTTGCAAAGACTATGCCAGCATCTCTCGTAAGAAACATCTCTGAGGGGATGTGTTCTTATTCTTCTCCATGTGACTCTTTTCTGGCTCCAGCCTGCTGGTGTAATTCTATCTGGTTCAATAGTGGTGGGGGAAAAAAGTCTTTCCCAGATGTCTGCAAATTTATAGTTTCCTGATGTTTCAGCATCAAACTTGGTGATAATTTCATTTTTTCTTCTTTCTTGCTTGTATATGCACTCCATCTTTGGTTAGGACTGGCATCTCCCGCGGTGTTTAATGAACATGTTTCATTCCGCTGCGCCAGGTCCCAGGCTTGTGTTAAACCCCTTTTCATCTTATTGGAGTGTCTGTTCTTTAAGTAATGTCACATCATCCCAGGCCCTGCACAGCAAGAATCTGTAACTTTTTCACTTTCCGCTGAGCTCTGGAGCTGGGAAAGTCTTGAACTGTTTGGTTGGTTGTTTGCAGAACTGAACTTCTGCTGTGTTGAACCCTAGGACCGTGAATTTTTTTGTTGTTGTTTGCTTGCATTTCCATGCAGTTAGCCTGCAAAGCTTAATGTTTGCCTTTCCTTTGTAATAAACTGCTTGCTGTTTGTGTCTGGTTTGGATGTGGTACTCAGAAGACCCATTTCACGTGTGGCGAGAGATGGTTAGAGGGACTCCAGAGGGTTTTAATGAATATCTGCTTGGAATTACGTGAATTAGTTTGCAGGAAAGTTTCTCTAGTTCTTGTCTTGGTTGTTTATGTTGTGTAAATTAGCTTCTCTGTCATCAGTTCTGACTATTTTTTGGGCTTTCTGCTGGCCAGAGAAAGGCTGATTGCAGTCTGGCAAAGTGTTGTGAAATAGGAGACGTGGGAGGTGATTGCAGTCAGGTAGCATATGTGGCCTTTCGTCACCGTCTCTGAAATACCCATTTTGTTTAAAATCCTTGTTCGTAAACAAAACTCTGAGAAAGCTCCTCCTCTGAGTCAGGTTTCTATTTTTCCCCAAATTATATAGGGATAATGTAAGATTTTTACGCTCTGGTTTGAGATTCTTTAAATTTCAAATTTCCCCTTAAAAAAGGGGAAAAACCTTATGTTGGGACCTTTTCTCATGGAGGTTTGGTAAGGTTGTGTTCTAGAGAGGAGTTTCTTTGTATTTTACCACAACAATTTTGAAGGCTTCCAAACTCAACCCTGTACCCCAGTCCTTCAGCAGCTTTTCTTCTCCAAAGAGAAGCTTGGCAGAGTTGGGTGGGTTTTAGACCACGCTTTATGCAGCTTCCAGAGAACTGGAGAGCAGGCACGGTTCTCTGGCTGGCCCGTGGGATTGAAATTTGGAAATATGGGACAGCTAGTCCAGTGGATTCCCTCTCTGCGCTAAACCTGCTCTTGCTTGGGTGTGTAGGTTGCAGGCTCTTGGGGACAGGATTGTCTCAGGGAATGGGATGCTGAACAAGACCCAGTGCTTGTAATTCCTTTTCAATGCCATGAAAATCGTCTTGCCCTTGAGGGCTTTTCTGGTTGGCGGGAGAGATTTAGTCTTACTAAACTTCCAAAAATACCCTCAGCTTTATTTTCATTTTCCTTTTTTTTTTTTCTGACTTGAAGGCTCAGCTGTCTCAAGTTCTGGAAGAAGTGGGAAATCATAAGCAGAGAGCAGAGATGGTAAGTGTTCATCTTTTGGGGTTTTTTAGTTGTTTTACAGAGCTGTAACATATGCAAAGTTCAGTTCATTTAAACAGTGGATCAGTTCCAAATATTCCGAAACGAGTACCGAATAAGCATTGTAGAAGTTTGTACTGCTGGTGTTGGCACTCTCTGTCTCCGTACTCACCTGGAACAAGTGTTGGATGAGTTCTAGTGGTCTTTCTTCCTTTTTTTTTTTTTTCAATTTCCTTTCTCTTTGTTAGCAGTTCTAAATCAGAAGCAAGTATTTAATTTCATACCGAATTAAGTCCTTTCTTTGGGGGCCTTCGATTCAGTCTCAGGTGTGCAAAGGGCAAGCAGATGAGATGTGACAGAATTACCACAAACTAGTTTTTTAGAATATATTAATTTTCTGCTGGGTTTGTCTAGTTCATTGGCAGTTCCTTCAAGGACCAAAAATAATGGAGGCCACAAAACCAGGCAGTAGGGAGGTTTATGTACAGTTTTGTGACTATACGATTCTTCACACAGAATCCCAGCATGGTCGGGGTTGGAAGGGACCTCTGTGGGTCATCCAGTCCAACCCCCTGCCGAAGCAAGGTCACCCAGAGCAGGCTGCACAGGACCTTGTCCAGGCAGGTCTTGAATATCTCCAGAGAAGGAGACTCCACAGCCTCCCTGAGCAACCTGTTCCAGTGCTCCGTCACCCTCAGAGTGAAGAAGTTCTTCCTCAGCTTTTGATCTCTTCCTCATCTTCTTCATACGCAAGACTGAATGAGGTGTTGCCATTAAGCTGTTCCGTGAACCAAGGTTTTTGCTGATGGGCGAGTTGTGGGATTCCTGCAACTTTTTCTAGTCACAAGAAAATCCCGAGCAGTATCTGAGATGTAGACATTCATTCTGCAGGTGTGTGTTACCCTGGATTAATTTTTTTACTAACGAAAAAAATGGACATGCATCACTGGCTAGTAAGTAGGTGTTAAACAGACCTCTGCTCTAAAATCCCAGTCGTAAACTGCAGTGCTAACAGAAGTCTCGTTAGACTGCTTACCTCTGCTAGGGCACTGGCGGGCAGACTTGGCGTGCCCCTGCTGCACGGTTAATAGGTTGCCACAAGTCTGCTAGTTTCTTTTTTTCCAATTCGTACTCCTTGCTGTTTCGACATCACATTTTCCATAATGAGAGCGTTAATTGATTCCAGTTCTGAGGTGGTCTTAGACTGTGGGCAAATACTTTTGTATGCTCAGCCGCTTTCTCTGGTGTCACAGGTCGGAACAGATATTTCCAAGGAAAACTGAATTAATCCTATTTACCACCTGATCTGATTACATGCTGCCTTGTTACAGTTTTACATTCTATACAATCAATTTGGCATTGTGCTCACTGGACTTATCAGAGGATAAATTTGCTGTTATATTTTAAATGTTCTGGTGTGTGCATTTTTAAAAGGTTTCAAAGTTCTTCTTTTTGGCTTGTTAAGCCTAGATTTTGAATTATTTGTTTGCCTTCAAAAGTTTGTCATATTAAATAAGCTAGCAGAGAGCCGGAGAAACTGGGACGTCCAGTGTTAAAGCGTTAATTGGTGTTGTGCAGCATCCATCAGCAGAGGATAAAGCAGCAGTCAGTGTTCGGTGCTTATTCCCAAGGGTTACTCAGCGGAAAACTGCAGGTCTGGTGATCTTCCAGCAAAGCTGACACCCGCCTCACACGAAGAGGCTGTCTGCTGTGGTGCTTTACATGGTGGACTGCAGGTTGTGAGGTCTGGGCTTTGTTCAGCATTTGGCATTTTGTTCAGTAAATATAAGAAAATGGCTTCAAACAGAGGAAGAGAACGATTTTCCTCTTTGAGGAGAAACGTGACAGTATAGTTCCTTCTCACTGGTGGTGGATGGTTCTCCTCCATCCCCAGGTGAAGCATCCCAGGTAGGGAAAGATGTGTCACTTCTTGTCTTCTACAGTGTTAGGGTTGACAGAGGTCTGTCCCCTTTGGATGGGGCTCTTCCGTTAGCTGCCTGCCCAAGGGCTCCAGCACCATCAGCCCCACTCTCCTCCCTGATATCCAACAAAACCAGCTTTATATGGGTTGTTTTTTTCCCCTCTCTCCAGATCAGTGTCTCACCTGAATGGCCTTATTTTCAGACTCCTTTAAAGTTGACACTTCAGCAGTTGTTTGCTGATTCGGATTCCTGGCATCTCGCCTTGCTTTTCATCCCTCTCCCCCTTTTTCACCCGTGATCCGCTGCTTGTTAGGTTGAAGTTAAGCCTCCACGGCTGGGGGGGTGTGGAAGGGCTCGTCCTGCTCTGGGTGCTGACAGATGTGGATATTGCTTTTCATCAGGCGTTCTGCAAACAGGCTTCTGGCCCCGCGTGCAGCGGAATAAACACCTGTCAGGTGCTATCGTACAGTCTGCTGGGTCTTTGGGCTGCTGCTGGGATCAACCTCTGTGGAGGTGACGTCTCCGCTGCAGCCCTGAAGGGTGCTAATGGCTTTGCCACCCTCCCCAGAGCACTGGGAACGAAGCGATGTGCGCTGGGGCCAGTGAACTAGCTGATTGGATCTCAGCGAGGAGCTTGATGGGGTTTCTTGTGTGCGATGGGGAGCGTTTTCGATGCCCTGGTAAATGATTCATTCTTTACATAGCAGTATTTAAAAGGAAAAGACTTGTGGGATAAATCCGATAGGATCATGGCCTCAGTAAGACAGTGTCTGCATGCTCTGTGTCCTTGGAGGGAGAAGGCCCTCGTTCGGGGAGTGGTGTCCGTGGGGACGACGGCACAAAGCGTGGTGTTTGCTATAGGGGACGCAGTGCTAGGCCAGGGCATGAGGTTCTTACTGGGGTAAACTGGGATGGACTTGCCGCACCGACTGCCATTGAGTACTTCAGTGTGTGATTCTGGTGCTTGTCAGCTAAAGTGAGTTTGCTGTTGGAAGAACAAAAAAAAAAAAAAAACCAAAACAAAAAGAGGGTAGGAAATTTAAACATCTTCAGCTAATTGCAGTTGACAAGACAAAGGCAGTTTGACTTTCCAGTATTAATTAGCAAACCCATACTAATTAGCTTGTATAAGCACAATTCATGCTTCTTTCTCTAAATGCAATTAATATTGCAACTGAAGACGTCTCTGGGCTGTGCCGCTGTATCATTAACATACTTTGCCCTAATTAGACACGGCCAATAGTGGCTGGAGAAATGAGTTTGTGATTACAACCATAAAAAATCCTCTAATATTTTATATCCTTCAGGGAACTTGAACCTAGAATTTATTTTCTGATTTAAGAAAAATTACCCTTATCATTGTGCTGTGTAACTATAACAATGAAACTTTGATTTTTCTCTACCTCTAGCACTTCAATTATTTATTTTTCTTTATTCACAGTTGGAGCGTGTTCCTGTTGTAAGGGGACAGAGGCCAGTCTGCCTTGTGAGGGGTGGTCCGGAACAGAGCCACCAGTCTGACAGGGCTCAGCTGATTTAATTGCCCCACAGATCTGTGGGCTTTGGGTTCCTCTTATTTGCTGAAAGAATGGGGTTTGTTGTGAAATTTTTTTTGGTGCCTAAGCGCACTTCTTTCCTACAAATTTTGTGTGTGTATGTGTGCGTTTCTGCCAATTTTGTCATCACTGGAAGTTTTCTTTATCAAGGCTCCTGCTCCGGTATCTTTATCTCCAGGATGTGCCAGGAGATTGCTCATAGAGTTCGCACATGGCTCCCTGTTTTGTGCTCCTTGATCTTGCTTCTTGTGGTACGTTAGTTTAATGCTCTGCTGGCGTAGAGCTGAGAGCTAGGCTCGCTCATACCAAAATACTGTTTGTGGAAAATGCTTTCTTCCTTGTTATATTATTTTTCTTTCTCTCCCTGAGGCCTGAGGGAGGGAAGCAGAACATATGTTAGTTTTTCTAATTTTCATTTGCCTTTTCCATCTCCCTTTGTAGACAGGAGGAAATTGTTTGGCTTAAGCTCACCATCCACACAACAGCTGTGATCCCTGATCTTACACTTTCTTTCAGTCTGGTTCTGTAGCAGGGGGTGTTCATGTCAAGATTTTTTTTTTCTCCATCATTAATCCCTGAGGGAAGTCAGCTTGGTATTAAAAAAGTATCACCTGTATTTTCATTGCCCTGAGGTGCTCTGGATATCATTTGGCTTTCATCTTCAAAAGACAGTTTGGCCCATGTGGGCTCCAAATCTGTAGACTGCTCATTGGAACAAATTATATTTCACCCTCCAGCAGATTAAAAAGGATGGATATAAGAATCAGAAGAATTGCTTAGCAGGGTGAGAGGTAAAGAAGATTCTAAGTCCAAGAATGTAGCTGTCACAAAATAAATGGTATATATTGAGTGTCCTAACAGAAGAAATAAAGACACCTTAAAATTAAAATAACAAATGGCCCTTGCCTTGGGTAGAAGTGTTTGTTAACCCTCTGCAAAGAACAGGAGACCTTTATTTAAGGGCAGCAGGTCAGGAATAGTGAAGGAGCCAAAGCGCGTGTTCAGTCTGATGAAACTGTCGTCTTTAGGATTAACGATTCCCTGAAATGTCAGTGACTAGCTGCGCTGATGGTTATCAGGAGAAGTAATGAAGACAGAAAGGAGGATACGTCAAAGAAATCAGCTCGGAGAGCACCATGCATGGTGTCGTTGGGAACGAGCTGTTAACTGGAAGACAACACGGAAAAATCGCGAAGCGTTTGGGAAAATTGCAGTAGGCATCGATACATAAACAACAAGAGACACACACAGCTCACGAAACATTTGCATTATGAGTGAAAGGCTTTACTTTCCAGTGGTTCCATCAGACCTCCAGGCTTTTAAGAACTGTAACTTTTGATAGTTAAGAGAAATACCTGGCAAGGATAAAAATTCTGCTACATTTTACTTTACAGGTGGTAACAACGATAATATGAAAGACGTGAACTTTAGTATAGAAAGACCTGCCCTGGATAACTTGCCAATAGAGCTAATTTAATTGTTGTTTAAGAGTTATTAGACATAAAGCAAGAAATATAGCAGACAA